TTAGATATCGCCCATCTCACAAAAAGTGAAAAGATGGCTATTCCCTCGTCTCCCAGAGCTCTAAACCTGCTGGAGACTGCTATCTTGCGATCTCCTCATGAGGAGCAATTGTCTGGGGTACTTGTGGGCAATCTCAAGTCCTCTCCTTGTCCAGGGAGGTTCAAAAAGCCAGTCTGCTCACCACCTCGTTCTTCTTCACCATGGTTGTCAGCTCTGCTTTTCATGAGGCTGTCTACAGTCCACCATTTCCTCCTCTGGAAGAAAATCTGTTAAGAAATGAAATTTAGAATAACTGTATATTATCTCTTGATTTGTAGGCATATGTGTTTTCCATCTGAAAGCATTTTAGTCAGGTTTAGGCTTTGTGGCATTTTCAGAGGCAGGATGGTCTGCCCTGGGAGGCTAATCCATCCAAATGGCTTTCTAATGACTTTTGGAAATGTTTGTGCCTTCCGTGCTGTTAGTTCTGTTGAAATCATAGTCAAAGTATGGAATTAGGAAGGAAGATAGCTAGAGTGATAGGGCTGGAAAAATTGGGATGAATATGATCAAATATGTATTAGCACCTATTCAGTGACAGTGATAGTGGCAAAAAGTTTATTTTTCTATTATCACAGGAATTACTCCATGAAAGCCAGCAGCGCTGGTCTGTGTTTAGCATCCTACTATGACTGGTTTCTAAAATCTTCATTTCCATTTTGACTTGGATGCTACTATTAGAACAATATTAGGAAGTATACCTTTAGCTCCTGCTTGTCTAGTTAAACTGGATGAATTTCAGCTTATGCGGCTTGAGGGTTTGGGGCAATAGGATGGCAGCTACATATGCATTTGACTCTTGCTCATCCTATCTAATGGGAGCAGCTAGTAGTGGACACACCAAGTGGAAGAGGTCGTTTCCTGCAAGTTAGAGTCTGGGATAAAACCACTGTTTGAACAAATCCTTTAGTCCTGTACTGGAGTATTCCATTCACTCTCTGATATTTCATTGATAGACAAAATTCTTGCACACTTAATGGCTTCTCAGCTCAACCTGTTTCAGGATGGAATGGATTGATTAGTAGGGCTATCTGAAGTTTCAGAGGGGTGCTTCTCTTCACTGAAGATCCTTGAAGCTGCTTCGTGAAGCGGCGTGATCTCCCTGCTTCTAAGAGCAAAGTGACTGTGTTTCTTCAGAGTCTCTCTTGGCATTCTTCTACAGCGCTAGCTGAAGGCTTTACAGGATGGGCAGCTGTGTTAGAAGCTATAAGATTGCTCACAATCTGTGCTGAAGGTAGCCAGCCTGCCACATTGTCCAGGTTACTGCAGAGAATGGACTGCTTGCTTCCTCCAGGCAACTCACTAAAGGTCTTCCAGGCTGGGAGGCTTCCATGTGCACTGTGAACAATCACAAAGCTGCCCGCTCTGAAAGTACTTTAGCCAGGTTTGGGAGAAAGAGCTGAAAGAATCTTTCTCTTGCAGTACTGGCCTGAAGCAATTTACGGCCCTCTGAATTACTTCATTGAGGCATTTGGATGGCCTCTTTGCTTCTTTTTTAGATTTAGATTTTCCCCTCCCCCGCTTCTGTG